ACTAGAAAGTTCAGCGTACTTTCCATGCTGATTTAACTGGTGGGGCTGATTTAGCTCAGAGGCTGTTGCCCTTCGAATCCATTTTTTTTTTCAAGCTTATGTTAGGCAGGTAGAAAATCTTCCATCAGGAAAAGGGAATGACAAAAAAACAAGAGTATTTTCTGAAAAATAAATTCATTTAAGTTCTTCAATAAGAGTTGACCATCATATATATGGTTTCATAGTTATAGAAATACATTGCAACATTCAGCAGTGGTGGTGTTAAATGTAGCTTCTGCAGCAATGCACATAATAGTTGACATGGGATGCTTATCAGCATCCATTTGTTTTGTTTTGGACTTAGAAAATGAAGGCAATCTTGATTTTTATTTTTATTTTTGTATTCTTACTTTCATGTCTGATATTTTTAATAACACAGCTTCTGGAAAAAGTCCAACACCCCCCCCCCCTTTCACTTCACCCACACAATTTTTGTATTTAATGTTGCATTTTACATTTTTCATTTAAAATTAGAAACATATTTTAAAATATTTTAACATTTTTTGTTTTTATTCCTCCAATGCACCCAAAACATTGATACTTATTCTTTTAGTTTAATATTTCATATCTCCCTTTACATTGCCTAGAGCTCTTCCTCAAGGTCTTTCTTTGGTGGTGTTGTTGTTGTTGTTATTGTTATTGCAAGGACAGCACATTTTCTAAATCTCTAAAGCATAATGTTTTCTCTATGACAATTTGGAGAATCTCATCCCATTGCAACACGGCCAGCAACCAGCATTTGAATTCATGCATTGTTTTATTTATTTTATTATTTTGTTTTATTTTAATGTGAGAAATGTTTGCTGAAGAAAGAACTATGACAGGTACCAACTGGGTATTTCTTTTGACATGATTGATGACAAATGATAGAAATTTCCCTCCCAAGTTTTCTGCTATGCTGTGACTCTCTTAAATTACATTTGGGACTTCTTTATAAAATGATCCTTGGAGCCTGATTGTTCCCTGATGTCTAGTTGCAGCATGACAGAAACCATATTGCCATATACTTTTTAAAGCACCAGCAGCCACGCTATTATCCTGCACAATATTGCTTGCTTTATATAATGACTTTATTTTAATCATTAGAATTTTGTTTTTGCTTTTTTAACTCCTGGGAGACCTCCTCTTTGAGATTTTAAATTTGTTTTAAAAAATTATAATAGCTTGCAAGGCTATGAATTCATACCTCTTATGTAGTGCAGAAAACTTCTTGTGAAATAAGTTTTACTTTTAACTAGTGGAATTAAATTGCCACTTTTTCTTGTTCTGTTTCTGAGAGGTGAAAATAGGGTTAGGAGAGCTCTTTACATGTCCACGATATTTAATTATCTTTCATTTCCAACTTCACATGCTTATAAAATCAGTATTGAGTTCTAGCAGGGTATATTGATGCACTTGATGAAAGGAAAAAAGTAGGAAAAATTACATATCTGATTTAAAAGGCCAGTGTCAAAAAAATCAGGAGTTTGATAGAATCTTTTCTGACCAACCAATTTATAAGTTTTTGTGAGCTGAAGTTCAGTTTATCAGAAACATAAGAGCCAGGATATAGATGAAGCGATGGTCTTTTCAATTTGGGAACAATTGATTTGCTAACTTCCATAGCTACATATGTGGTTTCTTGTTACTGAGTTTGATGGAAAGATTGTGAAAGCATTTCGTTGTTTCCTTATTTTTCTTTTAAGGCCTGATGCATACTGTGTCTCTCTACCCCTATCTATGTAGCTAAAATTACTTGATTTTACTTTTACTGCTTACCTAGCATAGTAACAACATTTATTATTCTTGAGCTAGGACAGTCTGTGACATATGTCTTATGCTGATTTACACAAAAAGGCAAATTATAGGTATGCTTTACTACACATATTTTTACAATTGGGTTCTTACTAGCATTATGAATTGATTGATGATGTATGATCTATATATAGAATTCTCTTTAGTTCCTGGAGAGATAATTATCTGACATTTCGTTCTTCAAAACTACATCTTGTCACCTCCTATAAAGAATGGAATTTGTCTTCTATAAAATGGAAAGTTGTGAAAGCGAATGTTTACATCCATCTGTTTTATTCAGGTTGATCTCTCTTTTTTCTTTTTCCTTTTTTGTTCTTCCTATTGCTCTCTTCAAGTTTTGTCAGCACAGGATACAAGCAATTTCACTTTAGAAACATTCCATTTCATTTTTCATTATTTTTATAGGTTTATTTTAAAAATGTGTGTATGAAATTCTACATATTTTTTTATCTGAAGGAAATGTAAAGTAATATATTTTGATACTATAATCAAGGAGTTTTCATCACATTTGTGGAACATTTTTAAATTCATGAACATGGTTGGCCATAGTATTTTTTTAAATTCTATACATCTTCAAAGGATTAGCTACATATTGGTTCTGTTTTGAGTAATTAGATGATTTACGGAAAATACTTTTAATTACTTCAGAAATAGCATGTATAGTTTTTTCTTCTGCAGACTCTAGTCCTTTTTTAATATGTTTTTGGTAAATAAATTCCATTAATCCATTCACAATGTCATGCTCTTCCAGAGGTTTTTGTAAGATTATTGGGCAGTTTTTCTGCCTGCAAGATATTATCACAGATGCTTGGTTTACTTTTGCAGTTCTCAAAACTGAATTTGACTCAGCAGAGATCACATGCCTCTTCTTCACAGCAAAAATGTTAAACATGAACAGAGTTGAGAAAAAGACCTTAATCCTATTGTTCTACAAACCTATGAATACAGAATCAACCCCTTCAGTGCTAAGTTTCAAGAAGTTCAGTGAATAGAATAGAAACAATATTTTTCTGATTGTTTGGAGTGGAATAGATCTGCACAAGAAGAAAGTGAAACTAAGTGTGAGGAGGAAGGGGCAAGCAAACAAGCAGTACAAAATAAAAGTGAAACTTTCTGAGCACAATACTGCACAGCCACAGACAGACAAGTCTTTGGATCTTTTTGTGTGTTTGACCTGAGATTTATCACATTCTTTCCTTGGAGGAAAAAACCTATAATGGCAGCAGGCCGTAAAAGAGACCCAGTTTGGCAATATTTTAATGAAGTTCCTTTACCTATCGGTAAGGCAGGCATGTGTGCAAACTGCAAACACTGCAACAAAGAAATGTAAGGCCTGGTGGCCCGAATGAAGCAACATCTTGAGAAGTGCTGTGATGAAGATGACCAAAGAAACACATTTGAACAGGCAGGATCTTCCGGTTGGTAAACATTTTTATTGAATCATATTTCTAAAGACTGCCTTGAACTGTCATGTTTGAGCAAAATTATATTTCTTATTATTACTGCATGTTACTGTCATTTGGTACAGTTGAAGAAAAGCAAATATTCCTTTTGGGGCAGTGCTGTGTACAATAAGCAGAAATTGTATAAACAATAAAATAACAGCATTGACTTTTTTGTTTAGGGGAATTCATGGATTCTGGAAACTATCCACCTTCAAGATCACCATCCTCCTGTTCTACAGTTTCAGAGTTATCCATCCAGGATAGTGCTTCATTAGCATTATCATCATCATCAGACACCCACAGCCACATATCACTATCACCTAAAAGAAAGAAAAAACCCTTCCTCCTGGAACCACCATGGATAAATTTGTGATAAACAACTAGCAGATTAGAAAAAGAGTTAATTGATGAAAAAATTGCCCAGTTTGTTTATGCAACGAACTCTTCTTTCTGTCTGACTGAGAACCCACATTTCATTAATATGGTTCAGTCACTGAGACCAGGATACAGTCCACCCAGCAGAGCAGATGTTGCAGGGAAACTGCTGGATAACTGCTCTGTATGACAGAGCAATGTGCAACAGCTCTGGAGGGTAGAATTGTTAACCTAAGTATTGATGGGTGGAGTAATGTCAACAATGATCCTATTGTATGTGCTTGTATAACAACAGAAGAAGGGAAAGTCTTCCTTGCACAAACAATTGATACGTCAGGAAATGCACACACAGCAGAATACTTACAAGAAGTGGCAGTTGCAGGGAAACTTCTGGATAAAGTGTATGATAGAGAAATGGAGCAATGTGCAACAGCTCTGGAGGGTAGAATTGTTAACCTAAGTATTGATGGGTGGAGTAATGTCAACAATGATCCTATTCTGTTGTATAACAACAGAAGAAGGGAAAGTCTTCCTTGCACAAACAATTGATGCGTCAGGAAATGCACACACAGCAGAATACTTACAAGAAGTGGCAGTAAAAGCTATAATAACATGTGAACAAAAATTCAAATGTCTAGTACGCAGTTTGGTCACAGACAATGCTGCAAATGTATCCAAGATGAGAAGAAATTTAGAAGAGCAGGAAGGGAATTCAAAGCTAATAACATATGGTTGCAGTGCTCATTTGCTGCACCTCTTAGCCAAAGACTTAAGTGTTCCAGAAATAAAGATTAATGTTGTTGAATTGCTAAATACGTCCGTAACAATCATTTTGCTGCAGCAGCTCTGAAAAGGATGGGTGGAACCAAGCTAACGCTCCCACAAGATGTTAGATGGAACTCTGTGGTGGACTGTTTTGAGCAGTATATCAAGAACTGGCCTATTCTGATGACAGTTTGTGAAGAAAATCATTTTTTGGCAAATATTGTCAATATCCAGTATCAGGGTCAAAACTTAAGTGCTGAGGAAGAGGAGTTAGCTATGACATGGGTATTCCGCAATCATCCATCTGTAATGCCAACTATAATAAACTTCAAAGCTAAGGGGGAACCATTCAAGAAATATATGTTTGCTGAAGATATTTTAAAGAAAGTCACACCAGTGAACTGGTGGAAGTCACTTAAGCACTTGGATTTAGAGACTGTTCAAGTAATGATTTCACTTTTAACAGCAGTAGCTTCTTCTGTAGGCATTGAAAGAATATTCTCTTCCTTTGGACTCATTCATTCTAAATTGAGAAATTGTTTGGGACCCGATAAAACAGGAAAGCTTGTTTTTCTTTTCCAGATTATGAACAAAGAAGAAGATGAAGATGACGAGTGAGCTACAGAGGACAGTATTTAAGTTTTTCATGTGTAGGCTGGGCTGACAGTCTAAGTTTCTTAAAATATATATATTTTGTTTAGCCAAATTAGTTAACAAACATGGATGTTTGTTTAAGCAAATAACATATGCTGTAATGTTATTGTTTCAGTTGAATAAATCTATTTAAATTGTTATTATTAAGGTAATGATTATTTTTCTCCTTCCTAAGTACAACAGAAAAGTTGTCCAAATATGAATGATTAACCTATTAAACGGGGGATAAAAAAACTAATATGAAAAGTTGTTATTCTAAAAATCTTCATCTACTTGCATATTAAAGTTATACCAGCAAGAATTAGTCTTTATGTAGAAAACTATGATTTAAATCAAGCCTTACTGACTAGTGATTTAAATCGTGATTTAAATTGTGTAAATCAAATCCACCCTGTTACAAAATCATCATTTCTGTAATAATATCTATGTTCTGTAAACCGCAGTTTGCCTGGACTTTGCTCAGGTTCTCAAAAGATTTATTACGCATACGCTTTTAAGTTAATGCAGCTAGGTAGTGTCAGAAAGTTTACAGATAAAATGTGAAAACTATAAAAATGACTTTCCCCATCCAATCCAGCAGGATCTCTTTTTCTATTAATCCAGCTAATCACATTAGAAAAGCATGTTTGCATAAATAGTAGGAAAACATATTGTAATGTAAAAAAGTAAGAATAGCACTACTTATGAATAGACAAGAGAAAAAAATAAATAATAACAAGTTGTCTATTTATGTATTCCATTTCCAGATATATAAATAGAAATCTAATGTAGTGAATTAGTTAACCAGAAAAAGTAAATTAGAACTGCTGAAAAAGTAAATCTCGACAAAAATTTGAGAAATCCTAAAAACGTTGTGAAATTCCAATAAACACTGTATGTTTACACTAGTTCTTCAACCTTAAAGTGGAAATGCAATCCATAAATATAATGTGCTTAATTCCATTCATAATGAACTTTGGATTTTTTTTTCTATTATTTTGTAGAAAATAAGAAAAATTTCTTTTCCAAAGTAGGTGATAAAATTACTATTCTTTCCAGAGGAAGTGCTTATTTTAAATGTTTCAAATATTACCTGTAATATTATATTGGAACCTGTAAATATTAGAGTAAAAGCTTGATTTAACATTTTGTGGAAAAGGTGACCATTACTGCCAAATACATTATTAGTATATATTTGCCTCTTTTCCCTAATGACATAATTATTAAAGTGATATAAATTGTGTGGTTTGTACCATTATATCATAATACAAATAATGTATAAATTGATGCAAATGTCATTCCAGTCATAGAATCGTGGTAGAAACAGAAATCATCTTCAGATTGTTTCAGACACAACAGACTACAAAATCCAGATAACTTTTATATGTCGAATTTATTAAACTGAGGTTTAATAAACGGATGAATAAATGTACTTAATAATATTTAATGTAATACCATTTGTTGATCTTGCATATTCTCTGATTCGTTCATGGCAAAGCACGTTATCTAGATGATCCATATTAACAAAACATACTGTTTTTAAATCACATTGTAGTTCCTCACATTTTTCCTTAAGTAAAGATCTTTTAATTTACCATTTAGTCAAATCATATAAAACTCTTTTGATACAAGAATACATTGGAACAACCACAGCAGTTCCTTATGTGTCATATAGAACAAGCATCTGGCATCTCTGCCTTCTTGTTAAAGCACTCTGCTTTACTAAAATAATATGTAGGTGCCAATGATCAGGCATCCTTACTTTCAAAGAAGTCCTCAAAATCCTGATGTTTTTTAAGTTTGAATATATGTTAAATGCATCAAGAAAAACATATGACTAGGACCAGTTAGCACTTTTTTTTTGAGAAAATGCCTTTGACTTAATCTAACTATATTCTATTCAAATATAGAAATATAGAATTAGAAAATAATAGAAGAAATACTTTCCATAACAATAATTACTAACAGACTTAAAATTAGATTTATGGATATCAGAAAAAAGTCAATCTCATTCCAAGTCTTTGACAGAAAAAGACTTTTTTAGAAAAATCAGGATCATCTGAATTAATGCTTTTCCTGAAAGATTTTCCACTTATGGTTTTAACTAAATATTCATAAATATGTCTTTCATTGTATGATCAGTTTGGCAGTAAATGCAATACATTAAGTGAACTAATCCTACACATTAAATCTTGTTCATGTAGGTTCCTTTAGGATAGGGAGTTTTATTGAATGTAATATAAAGCAAATACATTAAGCACATTAAAATATATTAATGCAAATACATTAAATATGTCTAAATTTCATTCTGTTCACCATCATTCCTTTATAATTAGCTTAAATAGCCCATTTAGCTGAAAGTTTAAACATTGCTAATGTCTTTAAAAGAACATTAAATGTTGTTAAATATTTTAAATACAAAAGAACAAATGCTTCTAAAAGTGCCATTGAAAATTATCTAGAGTTTATTTCATAAAACTTTTAAGCCTTATGATATATAGTTATTTGTATGCATATCACTCATTTATTTATTGATACAGGAGATATGTATATATTATTTTATTCAAGTTAACAAGCAGTGAATTAAAACTTATTGAGTATGGAAGTTTGCTAGTTTCTGGCAGTTGTTTGAAAAATATTGAATCCTTTATTTTTTATTATTATTATTAAAGTAGATTATTTTGTAATACTTTTTTAGCATCAGTTTTAATTGTGTGGTTAGATTGTTACTTTGATTTACTACTTAGTCCGTACTGTTTTATCATAAGATTTCAGATTTAGTTATATTTTCATTGCCTGAAATGGTATATAAAAACTATAGAACTGTGTTCACAAGTACCCAGTCAAGATCTCTTTAAGCTGCAGTTGGCCTGTGAGAATGTCTCTGAATTATATGTATTAGTTCCACAATTAATTCTTTGGAGACCACCATTTAGCATTGAATACAAGGTGCTATGCATTCTTATGAATGTTGGCATTGTGATGTCACTTCATTTATTTGGGATGTTTCAGAGAAGCTTGGCATGAATTATGATCTTAACTCCTAGAATATTGTAAGCATGCCATTACCTGACATGCTCATGTTTCCTATTTTAGACCTGACTGATCTTCAGATAACATATGGAGGTAGAAGTAATTGGAAAATTGGCAGACCTGTCATGAAACCTTACTAGATGGGACAAAAATACGATGCTGTAGCACATAAGTGTCTTTGAAGTTAAATTTATTGTCTTTTATCAATGGCGAAGAAAACATAACTGATCTTCAAAAAAAAATGATACGGTTCTTTCTCAGTGGCACATACTGTTGAAGAGTAAATTTTATATATAATGGTATTTCTAGCATTTTAAAAATGATTTCCTAACAAGGTGACTGGTATCTGGTTGTGTATATATATGTATGTATGTATGTATGTATGTATGTATGTATGTATGTATCATCGTCATCTTCAGGCTGGTGTTTTCGGCTTCGTGCTTCTAGGAGCAATGTGAGATCGCAGCTGTTTCTTCCTTTTAACTGCTAGTGGGGGTGTGAACACCAGCCTGAAGATGACGAATGAGACTTCATCGAAACGTCGCCAAGACACTCCCAATTTTACGCAGGAGAAAACCCGAATAACCAAAGACCTACATATATATATATACACATACATACATACATACATACATACATACATACATACATATATATACATATATATCTTTAGCCAGGTTCTTCCTACGTAAACCAAGATTTTTATGCAGCCCTAGTTCAGTGAAATCCCAATCCACTAGTTTCTAGGCTTTTTTTCTCCAGCAGCCAGCAAGCTCCCTGCTGCCCATTGGGAGACTAAGGAGACTAAGGTAGATCTATTTTGGATATATAAGCCCTCATCAGTTAGCCACACCTTCATCCCATGTATCCTCCCTGTAAAGGTACAGTATTTGTTTTGTTTTCTTTTCGTAGGCCTTTATGTGTATTTCTCTTTAGCCAGGTTCTTCCTACGTAAACCAAGATTTTTATGCAGCCCTAGTTCAGTGAAATCCCAATCCCCTACCTAAATCCCCTACAAATACTTTATCCTTTACAGGGAGGATACATGGGATGAAGGTGTGGCTAACTGATTTGTCTTGTAGGTATGCTAGGTGAGAAGAGCTTTCCTTGGGTCACTGTGACCTTTAAGCTTGAAATTTTGAAGACAAAAACATTTATATTCCCTTGAAGTTAGAATTGAAGTTTGGCTAGACAGAATCTTTTGAGATGAGAATTCTGGGATTTTTTAGAACCTATCTCTTCTGAGGATAAGGTAGGGTTATCTGTGAGATTTACTCTGCCATTTGTAGGATTTCAGCTGTCAGGGAGGGAATGAGACTATTTAAAGTGGCCAGTAAATGCATCTTTGAGTTTGGGACTGATGTTACCAACTCTGAAAAAAGCAGTAGTTCACCTTCTCCTTAAAAAGGCCATTACTCAATACAGTTACGTAGACAATTCACCTTTCTGTGGAAATTTGTTAAGAACGTAATGTGACCGCAATTACAAAGAACTTTAGATGAAGCACATTATCCTTTCCTGTCTGGGTTCAGGTCTGGTCCTGACACCAAAAAAAATTGCTGGTTCTTGTGGCCGGCAGCAGATTTTATATGGGGAATGCATCTTTTCTCGTAGTGTTTGATGTATTAGCAATATTCAGTATCATCAACCATGAAAATATTTTCAGATCATCTTTTTGCAAATTAAAGTTCCAGTATTGCAGTAGTTTTACTTCATTCTGAATACTCAATCCCCATTCACATTAGTAGGAAAAAAGAGGATGACTGGAGTGTCCCAAGACTTGAATCTGTCACCTATCTCCTTTAATATCTATATAAAACAACTGGCAGAGACCACCCAGAGTTCAGTTTAGAGTAAAGTATCAACAACTGAAGATACTTAGCTTTAAATCTGCTGTGGAGTTTTAAAGAAATTGTTGTTTGAGGTGCCTGGAAATTGTGAAGGAAGTGTCAGAAAGCCATGGAGATGAGTTGAAGGGAATATTCAGGAGCTGTCATAAAAAACAAGGAGGAAAGCATCCATTAGCAGAGAAAGGAGGTAATGTTAAAAAGCTAGTGAACCAGGGGCATCCAAGATAAGAGGGAGGGAAGGTAAAACTCAAGCAGATTTGCAAGAATTATTTTCTATAGCCAATCTCAATATGGTATTGTTCTAGTCTTCCTGTGGAGTCAGTTTCCAAATTTGGTCTATTTTGTGCAGCTGACAAGAAAGGATGGAACAATTTTGGATGAATCCCAAACGACAAAAATCTCCTGAACCTAGATAGCCTGCCTTTAATGGTAAATGGTGTGCTGTTACCCCTGAAGAAGCTGGTGCATAATTTGGGCGTGCTATTGGATTCATAGTTCCTGCTAGATCAGCAGTTGGAGACGATACCCAGGAAGGATTTGTCCAGTTTTGCCATTATCCTGTTTTTCTTAACTCAGTAGGTATTGGCAATAGAAATTTTTGCATGAATTATGGCAATAGAGTCTACAGTAAAGCTAGCTTGTTTTCCAATAGGAATTTCAGTCAAATAAATGGGTTGATTATTGCCTATAATCTATATATTGATAAAACA